GCTCTCGGATCAGGAGGGCCATCCTTGCTCCTCGTCTGAGCTATGTCTCTCATGTTCATCCTGCCCGTTTCTCCCTGTCTACAAGATGTTCTAATCCTGAAATGCCCCAGCCTGACTGGTCCTGCCCTTCCCCATTTCCCTCCAAAGCCAAAGAAGCCACCACCTCAATCTCTGTCGGCTCAGGTTCCAGCTCGTCTTCGCCCACAGATTCAGACACCGATGGGGGCATGACAGCCGGTGAGGGGCATGTGGGGCAGCTCCATCCCCTCCCCTCTCATTTCATGGCCATAGGACCTGTGTTGCTTAGCCTCCTGCTCCATTGTGGCCGCAAGCAGAAGTGGGCTGGCAGCCATGCAGGGTCCTTGTGGATAGGGTTTGTGGAGCTGCAGCCGTGAGGCAAGGGAGGTATTGGGGTGTGGGTGGCCTAGCTGTGGGAGACCTGAGGTATGCCAGTGCAGGGTTACTTCCAACCGCTACCTTCCGGTGGCAGTGACACTGGTATGCCACGCGGCCTCCTGCCCTGCTGTGAGCAAGCAGAAGAAGTGGGCCTCATGTACATGGGGGGGGAAAGACACCCCCCAAAATAAGTCCTAGTGCTTATTTTGGAGCCCAAAAGAAAATAAGACCCAGTCTCATTTTCGGAGAAACACGGTGATATACCTATATTTAACAAGTTAGTATTTTCTGATAACTCTTTAAGCTATGACATCTGTGAGGAATGCTCTGTTTGATCATTTCCAGGACAGTTCTCAGAAAATAACAGGAAAAGCAAAACAGCACATAGAGTTTCTGAACAAACATTATTTGTCTCCAAACAAGGAACTATCAGATCTCATATTTTCACTAAAAAAAAGCCTTTAAATATATGCAAATCATATCTCACTGTAAAAATGATCCTTATATTAAATATTATGCTTATCTATTCTCTTTATGTCCAAAAGCACACATTATTACACAAAGGACAATTCTTAAATCTTACCAGAATTATAAACCTTCTCTAGAGTTGTAGAATCTAGATCACTGAACGGCATCCATAGCTCCTTGTTTTCCACTTCCTTACAATAAAACCAATGTGGCTGAACTGATTCATACTGGTTTTGTAATAAGAGAGGTGGTGCCTTAACAAGTGGGCCTGCTGACATTGATGTCTGAGGTAATAGGGCTGGCTAGAATGAAAAAAAGAGAAAGTTTCCTTAATATTTCAAAGTTTTACTTGATGTTTAGATACAGGTCTTAATTATGTACAATTAATTCCATTCTGAATTACGAGAATACATTATTCTTATAGATTTTGAATTAGCATAGCAAGAAAAAGCAATATGGGAGTTGTGTCTTAATTTTGTATATCTGATTGCCAATTATTATCAAACTTGATCTAGGTGGTGGACATTAGGTTTCACAACTGAATCCTAATCAAAACTCTATTCATTATAGCTTTCAAAACTTTCAAATTAAATACAAAAATTAATCAGTTTCATAATTTTGCAAATATTTTACATTCAGATATGACCAATAAACCAATAAACTCTTTACTTGATATAATTAAAGTGTCAAAAATTCTAATATCAAAAACATTTCATTTTTGTTTTCATGCAAAATAATAATCAAGGGCTAAGATAGCAAATGCATATAACTTTATTTTAAGGGCAACAAGTGTCTCAAATGCTTTTGTTTTAATTTTGTTAAATTTTCCTTTCTCAGTTAAATCAAGTTACAAAACATATTCAGCAAATCATAAATCATTGTTATTGAGCTCCTAGAAAATGTGAGTGTGTGAAACGATAATTGTTAAGAGGAACAATAAACTACGATATTGAGTCCTTAACCTTTTTATAGTAATTGCAATATACTGAAAGGTAAACTTCCTACCGGTGGCATTGGTCCTGCAGGAGTTGGATACTTCTGGATAGATGGTACAGAAGGTGAAGGCTGCAGATTCTGGGCAGGTGCTTGTGTCGGTTGCAGCTGGGGGGGAGTGATGTAAGGATTGGCTCTACTACTTAAGGTAGTATGACGATAGGGGTTATAACCTTGTTGTGATGCTCCCTGAGGTGGTGTTGAAAAGACTGCTGATGGAGGACCACTTTGCTGAGGTGTTTGATAAGTTCCAATTCCTTGTACTGAAGTAGAAGGAGTATTAAAAGACTGTGATTTGGAAGCAGAAGCTGAAAATACATTTGGCCCATCTTGTGATGAAGGCAGAAGAGGGAAAGAAACTGGAGGTTTAGAGAAAACAGATGTTCCAGCTTGGGTTGAGGTTGCCACCCCTAAGGGTGGTTGTCCAATGCTTCCAAAGGGATCACTACTGCTAGGAATTTGAGAGAAATAACTGAACGTAGATGGAGGGTTCACATTTGTTGATGTCTGGCCTAGGAAGCTGTCTTCTTCACCAACATCTGTGTTATCATCTGCATTAAAGAATACAGTAGGATCAATAAAAATATGAAAGAATGGCACCTCCTCCATAACATCAACCAAAAATCAACAGTGCTATAGTTCACTGTTGCATTTCAGCAACAAACATCTCTACCATTTTCAAGCCTTTCTGCTCAGCTACAGTATTTGTATTACCTCAATAAGATAGTAATTTCTTTTTTTGGCAAACTTTCATTATCCCAATAAGGATGTTCACTCAATACAGTAGCCAACTTGGAATATTAACACTAATATATCAGCCAGCTTTTTAAACTATCAAGGCGCCATCAGTTAATCTATAAGCAGGTGAACTTTCCTTTGATGGCTATAGGCTACATTTAACAAAGGAATGGGGGAGAGCATTATTTCTCAAAAATGGGACAAAATGCAAGATAAACTGTGTATAATATAGACATGGATGGGCACAGAATCTTTCAGTTTTGGAAGTGATTGAGAAAGTTAATTTTTGATAGCATGAATCCTATTTTAGGGCTTAATTTAGGTAAGAATATTACTTAATCAGTTTATTGATTAATCTATTCTGTATTTGATAAAATTAACACCACCATTTTTACTGCGGCTCTGCTCATTTTCTCCTAGTGATAGGACCATTTCTTTCCTTAACTCTGCCTAATTTTTGAGGATGTTCTTCAATGGCAAAATGAGAACTAAGCTACTGCATATAAACAGGCAGCAAATCCCAAACTGATTTTGCTGAACTTCCAGAAAGATCTGAAAACATGTCTTTGCCATTTGGCCTGGGATCCAATAGTGTGTATGGGTATGGAGCCTACAAAGGGATTTATTACCAGGGAAATTGAGTGTGCCCTTCTGCAAATTTAATATTTTTAACGTTTTATAATTTTTGCCACGATTCTTTTGGTTACTTTGTTGCATCATTTTTATGGTTTTAACTTTGTATACACTGCTTAAGAGTCAAGTACGTGAGATTGGCAGGTTTATAAATTTACCAAATAAATAAATAAATAAATATGGGAATTATAGGAGAAATACGAATGTGTGAATTAGGTTAATGCTACAAAACCTCTTTTGAATGACACATTTTTCTCTCTCCCATCTGATGTCACTGATTTTCACTACCATCAGCTGGTGCCTTACACCTGTCTCCAATCAACATCCTAATAAATTGATCCCTCCAAATCTTGCCTGCTATGCTTCTACCCAAGAAAGACACCAACATTATGTTCTTCCACGTTACTACAGGTAGTCCTCAACTTACGACCACAACTGAGCTCAAAATTTATGCTACTAAATGAGAAATTTGTTAAACGAGGTTTGCCCCATTTTACGACTTTTCTTGCCACATTTGTGAAGTGCAGCTGCAGCTGCTAAATTAGTAACACCACTGTTAAGTGAATCTGGTTTCCCCATTGACTTTGCCTGTCAGAAAGTTACAAAAGGTGATCACATGACTCCGGAATACCACAACCATCATAAATGTGAGTCAGTTGCCAAGCATTTGAACATAAATCACGTGACCATGCATATGCTGCAAGGGTCATAAGTGAGAAAAATGCTCCTAAGTCACTTTTTACAGTGCCGTTGTCACTAAGTAAACTGTTGTAAGTCAAGGACTACCTGTAGTTATCTCCAAAGAACTAAACTTTCAGGAAGCTTAATTGCAAAAAAAAGAAATGCAACAGGTCACATGAACCAAGAAATCATCATTCCCACTGATTGGGCAAGTAAGTCTTGGTAGGAACTTTCTCTGCCTCCTCAGTAATAAGATTGCAGCACCAAGGCTGTGAAAACACACATTTTTTTGTGCCCTAAAGCCTTCAAGGGCATGGAGTGCTGCCCTAAACTGTCAAAAAGACCGTAAAGAGGATTGGAAAAGGGGGTGGAGGGGCAGCAAACCAGGAAATTCGGGAATCTCACCAGTAAAATAACTCAATTTCAAACCCACTCCCCCCTATAAAGAAATGCAGGCCAACGGCAACAATACATCCGTTTCCCGTTATAAATTAATAAATGTCACATCCCTGGAATATCCCACTTTCTCAAACCCCTCCATTCATCCTCCCGTCCGTCGCAGGTTCCTGGAGGTTACAAACCTCCGATCTTCAAGAGCTTGCAGGCGTCGTTATCGCAGACCTACGGCTGGGATTTTTTTTTTTTTTGCCTAAAGCCCCCTAAAATGCGTTAGAGTCGCCCATCAAAACGAAGCGGGTGGGGGGAGGGGGCAGCGAAAATGGTTTCCAACCGGGGATTTCAACTGCCCCCCCCATTGCCCCCCCACCCCACCCCACGACCATTACCTGCGGGAAGGAGGCCAGGTCCCGTACCGGCCACAGGGGGGTTTTGGCTGACGGGGATGAAAGGGACGGTGAAATTGAACTCGGTGGCCGAGGAGGAGAAGAGCAAGTTAGTGCCGCCGCTCGTGGAAGAGATGCCGCCCGTGGCGGAGGTTTTGGGGGCAGCCATGACTGAGGGACTTCCACGTCTCCCGACTCTCTGGAGCCCTCCCCGACAAGGCCCCGCCCTTTCCGCCCGGCTCTAAGATGGCGGCGGCGCCGCTCTCTTCCCTCTTCTCCCGCCAACCCGAGCCCGCGCTTAGAGCGAAGTGAAGTCAGGCTTGAAGTCCGCTCCGGCCTGGCTTTGCGCCGCTTTCAGCCCAGCTTGGAACGCCCGACCCGCCCGCTATCTTAAAAGCGCTCTCCGCCCGGCGCGTAAGCCTCCGGAAAAGCAGGTCCTCTGAAGGGAGACCTCTCTCCGGCGTGTCTCTCCTGGCCTTTTAAACGCGTCGAAGAACCGAAAAGATGCCGTGTGTGGCGGACTGGCTGAACTGCCCTCTCAGTATCGTGCAGGGCATTTTCGGTGAGACCGGGCTTGGGAGGGCTGCAGTGGGGATGGTAAAGCACGGAAACGTGAGAAGCTGTAAGGCAGGTCAAGGCGGCGGGGAAGCGGCCTGAGCAACCCCCGGGTACAACGCGGATAGGCAGAGGGGAAGCCGGCCGAGTCCCCCCACCCAAAAAAAAAAAAAAACACGAAAGGAAAGAGAAGACGGCTTAGCATGGCTAAGAACGAGCTCTGGGACCGGAGACGACCGGGAAAAAGAGAGAGACGGCGGCACCTCGCCACTCCTTGTGGAACGGGTTGGAGTTCGGGGGGGGGGGGGGGGGTTAGGAAGTAGCGGGCCTATCCCGGGCAAAGTGGGACTGACCCCCGGCGACAAAGCTAATAACCGAGTTTGGCCTGGCAAAGTCGGGAGCCCGCTGGGCCGAGCGGAGTGAAAAGCAGCCTCGGAGTTGTGTTGTGAGGCAAACTTGGCTGCGGGAAGGGCAGTTCTTCTGCACGCCGAAAGTTGGAACCCTCGTGGGAAGAAGAAGAAGAAGAGTGTTCCTGAGCATGTGCGCTGTGGTGTTTCTTTCAGCTTCTCGGGGCGGGCGGCTGAGTGAGAGAATAACAATTCTTAAAGGCATTGAAGGGGATTTTTCCTATTAAACGTCAGGCCTGGCGTCCTTCTTTTGAGTGCTTAATTACTACTTTACTGCTGTACTTTGTAATTAAAAAGAACAGGGTGAGGGCATCGTATTATTAGGCTTGGGCTCAAAACTGAACAGGAATCTTCTGGTTTTCTGTGGCTATCAATTGCTCTTGTATCTAATTGGTGTGTTTGTAATTTATGAGTGGCTTTCTAAACCCAAGTTGCTATGTTCTTTTCTGTTTTGTTTTTTAGCAAAATGGTTTGCTATATATCTTTTTTAACACAATTATTTGCAATTGAACCAACTCTTGGTTAAATGTGATCCAAAGTTAATCCTAAAATCTCTGAGCACATCTGAATAATTGTCTAATTGTTTTTGTTAACCTTACAAGCAAAATATTAATTAATTGGCAGGCTCCCAAGAGACTGTGCTTAGCTCATATAACTGAAAAACCAACATTTGGAAAATACAGCTAACAGGAAGAGCAAAATACCATAACAAAAACAGAATAAATCAAACCAGTGAAACAAAATAGGAACTTCAGAATCACTCTGTCTTAGAGGCTAATTGGAACAATAGCAATAACACTTAGACTAGTGCTTTACAGCCCCTCTCTTAAGTGGTCAGCATATTCCACACACACACACACACACACACACACAATCTAGGTGCTCATCCAATGTTTAGGAATTTCCTAAACAACAGAAGGGTGGGAACCATACATTCTCTGGTGGAACTCATTCCAGAGAATAGGAATTGTCAGAGTAGGTGTTTCTCCTGAGTCCCACCAGATGATATTTTTTAATTGAAAACCAGCTGCTTGAAAATTTCTACAACAAAGATCAATTTTTGGACAGAAGAAGTTATACTTCATAACATGGAAGAGAGTGCAATGTAAGTGAACATTGAAGGTGAAGATGTTGAGTTAGGCAGTCTACTTTCAACTATAAAAACTTACTGGGTACACCCAGAAATCTGATTCCTGACTGCTCTGGCTCTCAGCCACTTCACAGTAACAAAATAACAGAGTTGGGAGGGACTTTGGAGGTCATTTAATCCAACCCCCTGCTCAAGCAGGAGATCTATCCCATTTCAGACAAGTGGCTGTCCAGTCTTTTCTTAAAAGCTTCAGTGATGGAACATCCACAACTTCTGAAAGCAAGCCATTCCACTAGTTAATTGTTCTCATTGTTAGGAAATTTATCCTTGGTTCTTGGTTGGTTCTGTTCTTGATTAGTTTCCTTCCTTGTTTCTTGTCTTGCATTCTGGTGCCACAAAGAAGAGTGGCAACCCCTGAAATATTGGAATACTGTTATCATGTCAAACCTAATCCTTCTTTTCACTAGCCATACCCAATTCCTGCAACCGTTCTTCGTATGTTTTAGTTTCCAGGCCCTTAATCATCTTTATTGTTCTTCTCTACCCTCTTTCCAGAGTCTCAACATCTTTTTTATAATGTGGTGGATGCAGTATTCCAAGTGTGGTCTTATTGAGGTTTTAATAAAGTGGTACTAATACTTCACATGATCTTGATTCTATCCCTCTGCTTATGCAACCTAGGATTGCATTGGCTTTTTTGGCTGCTGCTGCATGCTGCTGGCTCATATTTAAAATGCTAAAGCTAGGATTGGCAAGAATAGCTACAAAGGCATTCTCTACGTACGCTACCTCTCTGAATGTAATAGCTACAGAATATTCACTACTTACATAATGGGACATCTCAGTGACAATTGAATCAAGACTCTGTACCCTAAAAATAATTGCCATGGTCTCCCACCACTGAGATGGAAGCTTGAGATCAGAAATTGCTGAAACAAACTGCAGTACGTTTAGCTTAATTTTTTTCATTTATAAAGTTTTAAATCTCAAAATAGCATATAAAAGAAACAAATCTTACACTATAGTTATGTCTGAAAGACGGATTTATTGTAGTGGATCTATGCCATGATTTGTGACATTGTTAATCCTGCACAGAACCTGACATTTCTATTACTACTAGGGAAGTTGTTTTTGTTAGTTGCGAAGTCATGTCCGACCCATCGCAACCCACTTTTAGCCTTCTAAAAATATGTCTGCTTTAATGCTTTAAGTAAAGGTTCCTCACTGTTAGGGCCTAGGCCCAGGCTCAGGGTTCAGAATCTGAATCTGTGGAATGTCAGCCTCAGGAGTCCTCAAGCTAAGTATCGCATGAGGCTGATCCAAAAACAAGCACTACCTGGGCAACTGGAGCAATTAGATGAGAAGGCCACCGAGCCCCTGCAATAGGCGAGTAGAAAAGGGAACAGAACAGAGCTGTTATTTGAGGCTCCTTGCCAAGCAAGGGAGTAAATCTCTTAATTAGTTACAGCTCGCTGGGGTTTGATTTAAGGAGCACCCTGACCCATGATCTGTTATTGCAAGCACCTGTCTGTGCAATCCTGACCTTTGAACTGTCTGACAACTTTGATTGGCTGTTGGAACCCAGAACTAGGTTTGGATGCTACTGTTAAAAGCGAACTATTCCAGCAAGTGTCTATTTTTTATTTCCATTTGTAGATCACTGTTATCACTTTGAGGTTCAGTAAACTTAATTACCATAATGTGTGTGTGTCTGTATTTAAAACCTAAAATGCTATTTGTTTATTAATTATTGAATAATAAATACTGTATTAGCAAAGTAAAATTTAAAATCTTGATCTTTTGTCTTGTTTAGCTCAGAATAGTCTAAATCTTGAATGGGAAAGGAAAGTAACAGAGTACTTCAAAGAGAAATTAAAAGAAAATAATGCAACTAACTGGGTAAGACTATATTTAGTTATCAAAACTTAAATTATTTAATGTTCAAAATCTTCAGGCAACTTGTATAGGATGGCTTGAATAACTTTAAGCATACAGTAGAGCTAAAAGGGATTATAAAATAAATTGAGTTTCTAGTTAAGTATATCAATAGAGAAATAAAACAGGAAATTGCTATTGGAATTGGATAGAAGATCTCTAAATATATAGTCTTTAAATTTTTGATTCTGAGTAAATTTTCTGCACATTCAAGAGTATGTGATAGTGTGATAATTTCATTAGTGTTTTTTATAATTTCTCTAACCTAAAGACAATACATATTTAATTATAGAACACATTGTCATATTTTATGATAAAATATTTTTGTTTGAATAAGAAAAAAGAATACCAAAGATGCAAGGTATATACAAACATTTACAGTACAGTTTTTAGTAATTCAGTCTTGATCCCAAGAGATGAACAAATCAAACCTACACATTCAGAAAATTGAATTCTGATTCATTAGAAATTGTATGGAATGTATATAATCATTTAGTCAGTCATTTTATTTCAGTAACTGATCAGCTGTTTGAAAAATAGAATTTTATTGATTGGCCCATTTTTAAATTTCTTGTTAAACATTTTATAGGTTTCTATAGGTACTATAACTAAATCTCAAATATGCATATCTGAATTAAATCATATTTAGTTCAATGATTATTAAGAATTTTTTTATAAAATGTAAATTCTATCAGCCTTTCTGTGTAGGTATTAGATCTTCAGACTTACTTAAATTAAAATATAAGTAGAGGATCCCGGATTTATGCACTTTCTGCCGTGCCCTCAAGATCTTTTTATTTTAACAGGCTGGCCTGGCCTAACTTCTTTTTAATTGTTAATTTTAAGTTTGTTTTTAAAACAATAGGGGTGTTTTAATCTGTATGGGCCAAAATATTTAATGTGTTTTTACATTGTTTTAAATTCTGTATTATGTGTGTTTTATCCTTTGGCTGTTCACCGCCCTGAGTCCTTTGGGAGTAGGGCGGTATATAAATCTAAAATAAAGTAAATAAAGTAAAATTGAAAATAAAGATATAAAATTCTGCTTGCCTCATGAAGCTGATAATTATTGAATTTTGTTTTACAGGTACCATCATTGAATGATGTTCCTTTACATTATCTGAAGCCAAATAGCTTAGTAAAATTTCGCTGTATGGTTCAAGATATGTTTGATCCTGAATTTTATATGAACGTTTATGAAACTATTGATACAGTTACTAAATCACGTGTAAGTTGGTTTCTTCACTATGGTTCTGATTACCTATACTCCTACCCAGCCATATTGTTCCTTTTGTGGTTCTTGTTCCTCTTGCTATGGTTGTTGAAAATTTAGAGCAATTTTTCATAAATTGTTGTTTAGAGTGATAAAAAATGCCCTGTAGTATAAAATAGGAACAACATCAAAACCAAATCATCAAACTTTTATCAAAACAATTCCAGGACTACCATATTTGTGCTGTGGCTTTAACCACTTTGTGAGCTTCTCTTCCTTCCTGAGTTTGGTCTTGCCCACTACAAGGTTGTCCATCTTTGCTAGGTCCATCATTTCCTTTTTATTCCATGTGACATAGGATTTTTGTAGGAACAGCCAGTACCTCTTAGAGTATCAGATGAAATAAAGGAAATCTTAAGGTTTTTCTATGTGTATTCTTAAGTGAAATATCAACAATCCACGTCTGATAATAGTTCCTTAGCAATTCTGTTCATGTATATTGGAGTGGAACAGATGCTTTGCCTGGAACCGATAATATATGATAAATCAACCGTTAGCTTTTTCAGAATGAAACATTAAAAAAAGAATATATTGAGTTTGGCAGAGCTCTACGTTGTTCTATGAACCAGTATGTTCATAGAAAAGATAATTTGTGAGGAAGTAAGAGTAAATATTTACAAAATCCTCACAAATCTCCCCAAAAAGAACATGGAATACAATAGTGATTTTATGTTTTTTAACAGGTTATGCATTTTGGAAAATACAGAGATGTAGCAGAATGTGGGGTAAGTCCAGCTCCTGAAATTATGGCAACACATTTAAGTTGCTATAATATTTATCTTTTTTTTTCTATTTTATCTTTCACTGATTCTATGGATATCTTTTTTGAGAACTTGAAAAACATGGCTTTTCAAAAAGGCATTTGGGGATGAATTTGTTCATGCAAGCTCAAATGGTGGTGCATTGGATTATTGGTTATAATTGTGTTAATTAATTTTTGTCTTAAAGCTTCTGAAAGTAATACTATAAGCAAGTCGTACAATCAAAAAATAGAGATGAACACAAGTTTTTGTAGTAATAAATAATCACACAACATAAATATTTGTTTTTTAATAAAGGATAGAATAGAATAGAATAGAACAGAACAGAACAGAACAGAACAGAACAGAACAGATTGTACCTCCCACACCCTTCTCTTGTGCTTTTTTTTAAAAAAATAAAGATATAATTGAGCAATCATCTGTACTGTTATCATTTAGTTTTTGTTTTTGTTTTTTTAATTTGATTTATATGCCGCCCTTCTCCGAAGACTCAGGGCGGCTTACAATGTGCTCAGCAATAGCCTTCATCCTTTTGTATATTTATACAAAGTCAGCTTATTGCCTCCACAAACTGGGTCCTCATTTCACCTACCTTAGAAAGGATGGAAGGCTGAGTCAACCTTGAGCCTTGGCGAGATTCGAACCCTGCAGTAATTGCAGGCAGCTGGTCTTAATAACCAGCTTAATAACAGGGTGCCTTAAACCCCTGTACTACCAAGTTTATGGAATCAATGACAAAAACTAGTCCTCCTTAAACCTATTTCTGCAGAATCTGTGCCTCTATTCTATTTTAAATATAGAAGGCAGCAATGCCAGTGTCAGTGGGTTTTACTAATCCCTCACACATTGTAATATTTTATCAGGGAAGAAAAACCCACCCTTATCAGATACATGGACTTACGTTAAGGCTATATGAATGTGTATTTTTAGCATTGCCATTTTAATATTTAACAATAAATATTATAAAATACTGTAAGTCTAAGACGGAAGCATACAGGTTGTAGTAAAAAAAATTAGATTTTACAGTGTACTGTATTTCTGTGCAGGAGATCTGTATGCTAATTATTACCCTTTTTGTGGGATGTTCTGTTCCTCTGCTTTCCAAACATATATTCTACATCTGTTGCTAGGAGTGTTCTGGGATCTCTTCCAGATAGTTTTCTTGTAAGACTTGTTTTGGGGTCACACCTACCAATTTATATGCTTATGTCACTTACTTATAGATATTTGGTGCTGTATTGATGACATTAAAAACACTTAGAAATGCATTGATCGATAGCATACATTAATATATGTTGTGTAGACATGGATTTAATTTAAATTTGGCTCCATACATTTCACTAGTGCTTCTACTTGAATACTATATTGCTAACAAGGAAATGTCTTGCTTCGACTGGTACAGTTCAAACTAGCACTGTGCTATTGTTGATATAAAAAACCAGAATCAGCATTTCATTATTTTAGATATGTCAAAAAAGTGGTTACTGGAACTTTTAATCCACAGAGATTAGTCATTCCTTGTAATTCCTTAGGATAGATATTATTTTCTAGCACACTAATTATAAATTTATTTTAAGATTGCTTCCCTTTTTAAAAAATCAAATGTATTTCATTTTTATAACTACAATATTTTTTCTTTTTATCGTATGCTAGTGATGTATAATATTTCTTCTTCTAGCCTCATCAAGAAATAGATTTAAATCCTAAACAAATCGTAACTGCAGATAGACAGACTTTTTATTGTGTTCCAGTGCCAGGAGAATCAGCGTGGGTAAAAGAAATATCCTTTGTAGCTTATTATATTGTGGACTGGTATATAAAAAAATAGAAAAATAGTAGTGGTAATACTGATAATGCAAGCTCTTTAACACTTGATAGAAAAGTATTGATTGGTTGCTTGATTCTATGCCATCAAATTGTGTCAACTCTTAATGACCACCGAGATGGATTTCCTCTACAGTCTGTTCCAAACCAGGTCTTCCAATATTGCAACTATTGCTGCTGTAATTAAATCCAACCACCTTGCTTCTGGTTAGACTCTTCTCCAGATTTACCAGCCTAAGAAGTCTTAGGTCAGTTAAGTCTTTGCATCATATATCCAAAATATGATAATTTGATATCATCTCCAGTGAAAATTCTGGATTGATTTGTTCTATTATCCATTCATTTATTTCCTTGGTTATCTATGGTATACTTCAACAGCAAGCAGAGTACTTTTTCTATCCTGCTTCTTCAAAGTCCAGTGTTTGCTTTCAGAGTATTACAGGGAAAATAATTTCTTGCAGAACTCTAATACTTGTAGATATAGATCAGGAGTGTCAAACTCAAGGTGTCATAGCGGCGTCACGTGACGTATCAAGACTTTTTTTCTCCTTTGCTAAACTGGGTGTGGGCGTGGCCAGCACATGACACTGGCCGGGAGTTTGACAGCCCTGATATAGATAGATTAGAGTTTGAACTTCAGAATTTACCTTTTGACTCCACCAAAAAAGCTGCAGATGTTGAACAAAATGGTTAACATAAAATAAAAGTAACCTTTTAAAGAGCTTTTCTTAACTATAATAGTAGAATCAGGATTTTCTGAATCCTTGGCAAGGAAGCACATTTGGGACAAACACATTTGTTTTTGTTTGGATCATGTGCATGAGTTGAGATTAAAAACATCTCTTCCGAGCTGATTGTGATAGTGAGATATTTCTCTATGTCAAATGATAAATAATTGTAATGAGAAAAGGAGATAATTTATAGCGAAATAGCATGAATTAAGCAATTTAGCCATTTTAATTGCTTTTCTAATATGGATTTTTTATGGTGCGGCATTTCTAAACTGCTATCAGTATGGTACCTTGTTTATGGTATTATATTTTAACTGTTGTACTTTTTGATACAGATTGCATTGTTTTCTGCATTTCTTTTTGCCCCGGGTTAGATATTAAGATAGGCAGCCATACCCCGATTTAAGGGTTTACAGCAGGGGTCTTCAAACTTGGCAGCTTTAAGAATTCTGGGAGTTGAAGTCCACAAGTCTTAAAGCTGCCAAGTTTGAAGACCTCTGGTTTACAGGGTTGTAAAAAAGGCATTAGAAATTTCTGAAACAAATAAATACATACATATATACAATAACATTTACAGATGAATGACCTGCTGTTGTAAGCCAAATCACGCTCTTTCCTTATTGCCACAGTCTGCTAGCACATGTGGTATTCTTTTTTTAATTCGTTTATGTTCATTCTTCAATATTTTTACAGAACTATTTTTAAAATGCTATAGAATATGAAACATATGATGTAATCATATGTTAAACTTACAAAATGCTATTATCTTTTCCCTCATCTTTGGAAATGAGAGCATTGCTTTAATTTTAAATTAAATGTTTAATTAAATTTCCAGATGTTTATTCATCCTATCAGAATGATTCTGTCCTTAACTTAAAACTTACGCTTATAATAGTGCAAGTCAAGCTCGGGTTTGTCCATCAACATCATACACACCAAGTCGCCATAAGAGGAGTTATGAGGATGATGAAGACATGGAGTTGCATCCATCAAAACAAAGAGAACAGCACCTCGGTATTAGTTGAGATAATGTCTTTCTCCTGAAAATCACTTATTTTTTAGAATTAATATTGTGGTGTATCCATTTGCACTGAAGTGATTTATGCCTTGTTGGCTTAGAATAGATTTAGAATATGATTTTATATATAATTATCTGGTTTTTGAAATAATTAGATGAGTTCAGGTATAGTTGCAAAAAGAGCAAGTTTCTGAATGTACCATTGGTCTGATGTGTTATCCATGGGTCAGTTTGTAGCTAAAGATATATGAATATCTGTATATGAATACTATATGAATACTACAAACTAGTATTTGCAAACACTAAATTCTTGAAAATCAAGGATGATTTTGATTTATAGAAAAAGAAAGAGAAAACTCATGGCGAAATGATACATTGTTAGCCATTAAAATAAATAGGACAATATACCGGTATAACTGAATGCCAGATGCAGCAGAAAAATAATGAAGTGGATTATGAACTTCCTGGTTCTCTTTATTTGGCTCACATTTATTGAAAAAAAATATGCTGAGTTAAATCAGAGGTGCGCCATTTGCAGAGTCATCTATATTTTTGTTCTTCTAACATAATTTTAAAAACACTATATATAGTGTCCAGAAATAAGCACTTTATTCCAGTCCACTAATGCCAGATGTTGAGGTCAGGGAGAAAAGAAAGTGTACAAAACAAATAAAATAACAGCTTACCCCTTTTGTTTCTAGTCATTTCCACTTCTTTTCCTACCCTTCATAGTATTCTGAAGAGTACTCATTTGCTTGGTTTCATCTAGGACTTAAAATACTTTTGGGGAATTACTATTCTGAAAAGCTCCAGTGTTTGCAACATGCACTTGTGACTCAGCATGATGTTGTTGTTTTTTCAAAAAGCAGCAATAAATATTAATCTCAAATGAGTTTTAAGGTAGTGGAAACTGTTGTTGTTGTTGTTTTAATTCTAGGAAATGTGCCCGATATCCAGGGGAGTGGAGAGCCAAAGCGATTAGAAACAGAAGCTTCTGCAAGGCATCAGATGATTTCCTTAAACTGTTCATCTCCACTAGATCTGAATTTTCCACTCCCAGGAGAAAAGGGCCCTGCATGTCTTGTGAAGGTAATAATATCTTAAGCAGTATCTGAAACAGGATCGCTTTTACACGTGTTAGAGGTGTAGAGATTTGTTGTAATTTACATTTAGAACTGGTACATAAAGCCGTGAATCATATACAGGTAGTCTTCGACTTACAACAGTTCATTTAGTGACCATTCAAAGATACAATGGCGCTGAAAAAAAAGTGACTTATGATCATTTTTCACACATCCAACTCATATTTATGACGATTGCAGTAGTCCGGTGTCATGTAATCACCTTTTGTGATCTTTTGACAAGCAAAGTCAAAGGAAGCCAGATTCACCTAACAACCATGTTACTAACTGAATAGCTGCAGTGACTGAATAGCTGCATTTAACTGTGGCAAGAAAGATTGTAAAATGGGGCTAAATTCACTTAACTTTTTCACACGGCAATGGAAATTCTGGGCTCAATTGTGGTTGTAAGTCAAGGACTACCTGTGTTTAATTATATATCACACTGCTTCATGTAAATATAGTCTGACAGTTGCACAAAGCCTGTCTGTCACTGAAGGATATATTAAGTGACTGTATATTGTTAGAATTTAGAACACTAATTCTGCACAGATACAATTTTTTATTGAAGTAGAAAGTTATGAAGGACAGTTATGATACAAATCTTCTCCCATAATACCAAACCATAATTTATTAGTATGTTCAAGTAGCTATTGCTTTTATAGTACTTCATATTGTCTTACTGCAATTTCTCCTCTTAAACATGTTCTGTTTGTGGCAGATATATGAAAATGGGGACAATTTCAAAGTCAATGATATTCTTGAGGTGTATGGGATTTTGTCTGTCGATCCTGTCCTGAACATGCTGAACAATGAAGAAAGGTAACATTTTAGTGATAATAAAATGCAAGTTTGCCATCATTGTGACTCAAGAAATTCACATATTTGGTCCACAAATAATAGGTAATTTGTAAAGTTTCTATAAAAGATTAGCAGCAATATTAAGTTTTCTTCTTTGTCAGTGTGTTTCAGAAAAACTGAACAATAATACCCAAAAAGTTTGGAAGATTAATGCTAACCCACAAATTGCTACTTAACAGTGTTGAATTTATAACTAAATTTTAGAGATCTGAATTTGTCCCAATTCTAAATAAATAATAAATAAATAAATAGTTCATTGTACCCATATAAAAAATAAAAAGGTGATGTCAGTTCTTTATATTCAGGAGCATTTTTAAAAGATATAACTGAGGACTTTACTTTGATTGCTGCAAAAGTATGAAACAAATTAAAGAACTTAATTTATTTTGTTAATGATACAGGTAGTCCTTGATTTACAACAGTTCATTTAGTGAACATTCAAAGTTAGTGGCACTGAAAAAAGTGAGTCATGATTGTTTTCCACACTTACGACCTTTGTATCATCGGCATGATGTGATAAAAATTCAGATGCTTGGCAACTGGTTCATACTTATAACCATTGCTCTGTCCCAAGGTCATGTGATCATGTTTTGCAGCCTTTTGACAAGCAAAATCAATAGGGAAGCAAGATTCACTTAACTATGTTACTAATTTATAAACTGCAGTGATTCAGTTAACTATGGCCAGAAAAGTCATAAAATGGGGCAAAACTTAACAAATGTCTCACTTAACAAGAGAAAAGTTGGGCTGAATTGTGGTCGTAAGTCGAGGACTATCTGTGCTGACATTTCATGTTTCAATAAAATACCTTTTTCTTTAGCAGGAAATAATGTTGCATGTAATTTTGAAATTAAGTGTGCCTAAATACAGGTACTTTTATGTTTTAGGGAGAATTCCTCCTCTCCAGTGGAGTCTATGGATTGTATGGATACTGTGGAAGAACAGAGAGTTCATAGTCCTCCAGCATCATTAGTTCCCAGAATCCATGTAATTCTGGCACAGAAACTTCAGCACATAAATCCATTGTTGCCTGCTTGCCTTAATGAAGAAGAAAGCAAGAGCTGTAAGTATTTCAACTATTTAGGGAAGATTACCTTGTTACTATCAGATGCCTGAAGTGGATTTTATTGTTTCTACTTCTTTGTACACAAAAAGGTCAGTTTGTCCTTAGTATTTAAAGCATAAAGGACATTAGTAAATGTTGTATAAGTCATTTTGCTCCCCCATTGTGACACAGCAAGTTTGACACCCGTGTCTTATGGCAGCCATGTAATAATCAAAAGTGTCCAGCTTGCTTGATAAAGATTCTAAATAGCACAGGAAATTGTTCAATATAAGGCACCACCCTTCCTTCCCTCATAGTAGTAATACTCTTGCCAAATACATCTCTGTGTACTGTATATACAAATATGTTCCTGAAAATCCTGTAGACTACATGTACAGTATGTGACAACAATAGTGTTCATTTTAGCTTGTAAAATTATTTTTGCTTTTGAAGTCCAGATTATCTATAAAGTGATTTATAGAAAAATTCTGAATATTGTAACAATTGCTCTAATGGTATCTTTTAAAGAGAAGAGATAAAGAGTAAATTATATGCACCTATAATAGATTAAATATGGCTTCCAATTTTTAATTGCCTACTGACAGAGTTGGTGTGACTTCAAGCCAATTTTCAGCAATTTTCAATCTTGCTGATTAGTTTTTCTTATTTGATAGAAACATTGAGCTAATCTTTAACAAAATCGGCTTCTTTCAAATGGACACCTGGCAGCTATACTGACCCCTAAAATTAGCTAGCATTTGAAGCTACAATAAAATATTACTTCTAGAATTCTCATATTTTAGGGAAACAATTCTTTTTGAAGATAATACATGGCCAAAACAATCATGATGCTATGAAGAAAGAAAATATCTGACTTTTAAGCTAATCATGCAAGCAAGTTAAATTTCCTCCACACCATAAAGTCAAATCATAGGTCATACCCCTCCATATTCTGCATCATTAGTGTCAACATTCCTTCAGAACTTGTCCAGGCCCTTAGACTCCTAAAAGAAGAATTTCCTCAGTTTCATGGTAATTATAAGAGTTCCTTTGATTTAAAGATGAAATTTAATGAATTAATAACATAGTCGATAACTAATGTGGGATACATTCCTTAGCTATTTAAATTATTTATTTTGTGTGTCACTTGTCATTTTTAAATACAGCATTAAAATCTGTTGTCAATACGACACTCAGCTAAAAAAGTTAAAATATATGTATGGTTGGTGCAAAGTTGTATATCATTAACTGTCTTCTGCAAATGATAATTAAGTGTAGAGGTAATCCTCAATTTATGACCATAATTGAGTTCAGAATTACAATCAAATCATTGCATTTATAAGTTGAGGCATTTTGTGACCTCATGCAAAGTTATGACCATTTTTTTAACAACAGTCGTTAAGCAAATGCATTTTTTGTTGGGACACCAAAAATAAACCACAGAAACCAACAAAAAAAACACAATCATGTGTTGCCAAATACAGCAAATGGCCATAAAAGTGAACCAGTTGTCAAGTGCCAAACAAATGTGATCTCATGATTGCAGAGGGGGAAACCAACAGAATAGTATAGTATAGTATAGTATAGTATAGTATAGTATAGTATAGTATAGTATAGTATAGTATAGTATAGTATAGTATAGAATAGAATAGAATAGAATAGAATAGAATAGAATAGAATAGAATAGAAATGTTCATCAAGAATCATAAGGTACAACATTTAATGATAGTCATAGGTTACAAATAAGCAATCAGAAAAGAATATCAATATAAATTGTAAGGATACCAAAATAGGTTGTAAATAGTTTTGGGGAGGTCCATTGTCATTTGGAATGGTCATTAAGCAACCAGGCATAAGTTGAGGACTACCTGCACAGTACAGGTAGACTTACAACCACAATGGAGCATCAAATTTCTGTTGCTAAGCAAGACAGCTGTTAAGTGAGTTGTGTCCCATTTTATGACCTATTTTCCCACAGTTGTTGAATGAATCACTGCAGTTGTTAAGTGAGTCATATGGTTGTTAAGTGAATCTTAAGTAATTTTATTGAATGCCAGCTGGGAAGGGTACAAACTATGATCACATATCCCCAAGGCAGTGCAACTGTCAAATACACACCAGTTGCCAAGCACCTGAATTTTGATCATGTGACCGTGGGGATTTTGCAAGTGTGAAAACCAATCATAAGACACACTTTTCAGTGCTGTTGTAACTTTGAACAATTACTAAACAAATGGCTATAAATTGAAGATTACCTGTATAGAAAAATGCATGTGTTATTTCTGATTCTTGCCTATGCTGTCTATTTTAGTTGTCTCTAGTTTTATGTCTGAACTATCACCAGTTAGAGCAGAGCTTCTTGGCTTCCTCAGTCATGCCTTTTTGGGAGACAGCTTGGCTGCTGAATACGTTATATTACACCTCATTTCCACAGTGTAAGTAACAAATTCACCTGTTTAACGTATCTGATCCTGTGGGAGAAGAGGTAAAGGGCAGAAAGTATCTAATTAAGACATACAGTATTATTCTGCCACCTAAAATTGTTCTAATTTTTATCCTGCAAGTAAAGTAAAATAATTTGTTTTTTTCAATATGTGGTGATTTTGATGTAATCTCAATTGCTTGCATATTTATTTAGATACCTTCCTTGACGATCTTTCACAGTTTGAATCACTCTCTTACCATAAAATTGCTAAACTTAGTCACTGGGTTGAAGGTAAAAAAAGCAGTCTAGAAGGAATAATATAACAATTGTTAATATAAAAATGTTTAACTCCTTCTAGCTAGCTTTTCTTTATCTTCAGTTTCCTACTCCTAGCCTTTCCTAAATTAAAAGGGAGGAGGGGAAGAAAGAAAAATAATTTCCTGCAACAAGAAATTCCTGCAAATCGCAACAGACCAAACCAGGAAACTGGTTTTCTTAGTGGGCTCCTTAATATTTCCAAAATGATATTCCTATCACAGTTTTAAACTATCTTCAAATACTATATCTTCATTGGTGCTTGTTCATAATTGTTCTACTAATTTCACTGTATACATCCTTTCAAAGTCAATATTGCTCTTTAGCCAAAAACATTCCTAGCATAAAATGGTTTATAAAGTTCAGCAATGGAAGTTCTTGCTCATAGCCTTATATTTCTATCCTTTGTGTTATCTAGCTATGCGAGAAGAGATGTCCTTCCTCTAGGAAAATTCACCCTGAATTTAAGTGGCTGTCCAAGAAACAGTGTCTTCACAGAGCATGTATACCGTATTATTCAGCAGCTTGTTCCTGCAGTAAGAATTACATTTATAAGCTGTGTACCTTAACTGCTCCTTCATGTCAGTATCTGGGTTCACCTGTCACATTAAGTTGTAATGAATGTGGCTTTCAATACTATCAATGCAGCCATTTGTAAACCACAGTTTATGTCTTAATGCAATGTGTAAAATTGCTTAATCAATTTACCATACTTCTGATTGGGTATTTAAAGGGACAGTTGAGAAGTGTGTGTGCGTATGTGTGAGAGAGAGAGTTCTTTGTATATAGGTAGTCCTCTGTAGGGTTGATAGTCCTCAATTTATGATGGTTTGTTCTGCCCATCCTAGCACCCTTGCCCTTTGGGTGCTGGCAACTGTCTCAAGAGTTAAAAGTGGTTGCAGTACCCCGCAATCACATAATCACCATTTGTGACCTTTCCTGTCAGCTTTCCCAGAAAGTCATTGAGAAGACAGCAGGGTCTCAAGTTTCTGGGATGAGTCTTCCCCATGTACATATCCTCTCCCAGTGCTTGCACTGCACCAATCACTCACACATCCCCGCATACCCTCCCAAGCTTCTCTTACTGCTTGTGTATTCTCCCCAAGCTTTACTGTTCCGTCTCACACTCTTGCATCCTCATCACACCTTTCTGACACCCTCCCCAACTCTCACTACACCTTTGCACACCACGCCTTGCCTCTCTTGCACCTCCTCATGCCCTTTCCCATCTGGCAGCAGTCACTTATTGCCTGCTGTCCTGCCTGGGAGCCTCCTGGTACTTTCACCTTCTTGCCAGCCTCCCCACTGACTTAAGGGAAGCCAGAAGAAAGCTGCCTGGGATTTAATTAACGGTGGCAACCAAGACTGCTGGGATTGCCATCACTATGTAGTACAGTCTCACTTTATATAAGTTTGCAATGGAAATTCTGGTCCCGATTGCTGTCATAAGCCTACCTATATGTCATCAATGCGCGACTGCTTGCATGACATATCCAGAATGATGGATCTGTACCCAATAAGACAGTTTATCTTTAATTCCTCTATGGCTCAAGGAAATACAGATGCCATAATTTTAACAATATGGTTTCTGCCCTTGCTTATGCCTGCCAGTATGCTTAATTATAACGACAAAAGAAAAAAATAAAGTGTAATTAAACATTTCTTCATATGTATATAATACATTTTTTTCAAGCAATGTTATGTAAGTTTGATGCTTTAAAGGATAATGGAATATTTTTAAGATTCTGTCTTTTAAAACCAATTTGTATCAATTTTATTACACATCTGATTTTTGAAAATATTTACTAACTTATGAAAGAAAGAGTATATTTCTTGTACTGTGGAAGAATTGGGTGTCTTTAGCCAGAATTTCTGCAATTACATGATTCCTTAATTTTTATTAAACCGTTAACCCCTTACGTCAGTTTTAGTGAAATGTAGTAGCTTAATTCTTTATTAGGTACATGTTCCGTATGACAATTCATTATAGTGATTTCTTTTTCTTTTTTTTGACAGACGTATCGCTTACAGATGACCATAGAGAATATGAACAGCTTAAAGTTTAACCCACACAAGGACTACACAGCTAATCGCTTAGTCAGTGGAATACTACAGCTGGCCAACAGTACCTCTTTTGTCATAGATGAAACCTTGCTAGAGCAAGGACAGCTTGACACAAAAGGTTAGTATTCATGGATACAGTTTCGGTTCAAATATATTGATAAATAAATGTTAAAAAAACATGATTGAAGCAAAAAGACAGTTGCCTCTCTGATTCTTTTATCTTACATTATATAAGCATATACATACTTATTTTGTCATCTGAGATCATCAGTTATAAATGTTAAAATTTTAAATGCATTATAAACAATAAATCAAGCAACTAAGTAAAGAAAGATATAAGATCAGAAGGATGCTTAGTATATTTGCTTAGTTACTATAACAGGTATTGTGTGAGTTTGGGGAAAATAAATTAATCTAACTGAAAATAAACTAATCCCAATTTAAAACACAGATAAAATTTCCTTTAACTTTGCAGATTTAACATCAAATTCATCTTCTGAAATGTAAGTTATCTTACATCCAGAGAAAGGCAGAAACTATGCAGTTTTTGATTTGGATTACCTTCTTCACAGGAATAATAGTATAGGCATATAAAGCCTGCCCCCCTTTTTAGGTCCATTTAGTTCAATTAACTCACCAGAAGTTACTCTTTTTTATTCAAAAAAGTGGGATTTTCATCCATCTATTGTTGAAGGATGTTACCTCAGTCATGCTGCTTCCCAGTTGTCTTCTGCTGTCAATGGACCTAAATCTTTCTTAGGCTGTTTTTCTGCTTTTCCGCCCATGTCTTAATTCTGATGATTCACCATACTTATAATTCACAACAGTGGAGAACATCAAATCAATAAATATTTGATTATGTAAAAATCATCATAAACAATTAATAGAAGAGAAAATCCAACATCCCAAAACCAAGATAGAGACTCTCCAAAGAATGCTGAAATAAAACAGAATTATTGAATTTTAATAAGTAGTTACTTCTTGGTGCGAGTACATCTTGAAATGTGGGGTTTCTGCAGAGATGACCTTCTAACTTCAGTTTCTGGATCATCTTCAAAAGCAACATCATGAAATTTGTGCAGGGATTATCCAACTGAGTGGTGATTGTGGCATGAGTCACCCATCAGTCAGGACATTCTGATCCCTATTCATGTTCATAAGAATTAAAAGTTTGATATTTAAATAGGGCTTTTGCTTATTTTTTTATATTTCCATTCCAATTGAATGTTGGACAGAAGTTACATAGTCTTGTTACACTGTCTATCTTTCTCTGTCATTCACAAGGATCTATGAAAACAGGGCAGAGCAAGATAAAACTTGGTATAGGAAAGAAAATTGGCAAAAATTCAAAAATGGACTACATTACATCATGGCAGAGAAAAATATTCCAGAAGAAAAATCCCTGTTACAGCTCTATGAATTGGGTAGAAATACTGGCAATTGTTCCATTCTAAGCTCTCTCCTAGTCATATCCACCCAGACCTGACTGCATAGAAGTTTCCCAGTCTTTCCCATTTGACTATACTATATTAAAGATAATAGGAAAAACTCCAGAAACTAGTTTTGGCATGCTTTCCCTAGCTTATTAATTATTAACTTACATTCTGGCAAGCATACAGACATGTTCTTGAAACAATTAATTTGTTAAATACAGTGAACCAAAAAATAAACTGAATGGTGTATTTTTAGAAGAATTTATTTTAAGAAAAACTAAAGTTATTTCTGATGCATTACAAGCCATGATTAATGTTTTGGTTTGATTTTACTATCTTTTTAGTAAAGATAAGTATAATATAGATAAGCATACTAAATCTTAAGAAAGAAATTAATGATGTAACAACACATCATTAACAACACATGTAACAACACATTCTTGTGATCTAACTAGGACAGTGAATGGGATACAAGCAATTTTTAAAAAGTTAAAAGATATAAAAACAAAAATTGCACAAGGTAGATAAGTACTTTAAATAAATGCAGGGGAGCATAAAAGCTAATATATAGCTAATTAAATCTATCACAGTCCAATTGTGGTAGAAACTAGTGCAGAAGCTAGCAATATATGTTGTAGAAGTATTAATGTCCGTCAGCAGCTGGATTGTATAGAAGTGTTCTGTGTGGCCTGGGTAATGGTGAGATAAAGCTAGTGCAAAAGCTATTGATTGTCACATAGGGTAGTATTGCTACAACCTGCAGGCCTCCTTCCATGTTTTATACCTGCTTCTGTCTCAAGAATGAGCAAAATCCATTTAATATCAGTTTGTCCATGATTCCTGAGTCACTATGTAGTCATGGGAAAGGAAATAAGTGAAACAGGATTTCTTCTGAATGCAAACCACGTAGCCATATTCCTGGTTAGAGGAATGACTGTATATTAGTCACGTAGATATCAAATTACTCTGGAAGCTAGTTAAGAAAAGCAAACATCAATTTACTAATGTTGCTGCAAAGATAATGTCTTCTTTAAATTATAGTTACCCCAGGTCGCTGTTTCCCTTTCAGAACAACTACCCTAGGACTAACAATGAGGTTTACTTTTTAGGGGGAGGGAAGCTCTTTTTAATTTTTTAACTTCTAAAACATATTAAAGGTATTGCATTGTAATACTTGTTGTAATAATTTATAATTTCTCTTTGATTTATATTAGATTTACATACTTTATTGTGCAAGAAAAAATATTTTTCCAGAATTTCTTCTAGTTCCCAATGATCATTTGCTCAACTTCTTAACTCCTAAAGGAATTTTACCTAGGAACTAGGTTTACATATTAATTCATAGGACAGAATTCTTGAAACTAAAAATTAAAATACTATATTTTATTTTATATCTGAATCTTTGATAATAAACCATATTTTTTTTCTTTTTTCATTATTGTGTTTGTAGGTGTACACAATGTAAAAGCCCTGGGCCACTTGATAACTTGGCAGAAAGTGGATTATGACTTCAGTTACCATCAGATGGAATTCCCATGCAACATTAATGTTCTTATCACTTCAGAGGGCAGATCACTCCTACCGGTATAGCAAAGCTTCCCTGACCTTCCTTCTTTGTAATTTCTTAAAGAAGAATGAAAGGATACAAAGATAACTAACTGTGCTGTACATCTGTGGTTCATACTGGATGCTGTACTTGAGCAATACATTGCTTTTCTGTGAAAATTTGGCAGTATAAACTTTGGAAGGAACAAAAATAGTGTCGGGTAAACAACATTCATACATATAGATCAATAAATCTTTTAAGTGTATGATTTTGGATGTTATTTTTAAAATCCGCAATCATTAGGATACAATTGCATTTGTAGGTAAGTAAACGGATTGGATTAAAAAGACTTTTCAGCTAATTCTTGTTATCTAATTTGTCAGAGAGAACTCTATATAGCATGTAGACACTTTCAGAGCCAATATGAAAAAAATTGCCTTAATGAAGACTGCTACCTTTCTTTGTATTAATAACTGAAATGTGAAATAATGATTTAAACTTTTTTCCCACAGTCAGATTGCCAAGTCCATCTACAGCCGGAGCTCCTTCCCCCTAATATGGAGGAGCACATGAACAGCCTTCTCACAGCTGTGCTGCCATCAATCCTCAACAAGTTCCGCATCTATCTAAGTTTGTTGAGACTGCTGGATTATAGCATATCGGATGAAGTCACAAAGGTATAGAAATCATCATTTATTGTTAAGTGTTCAGATTGGGACAAAATTCTATTAGCATTACGACAGGGGTGTCAAACTCGATTTCATTGAGGGACACATCAGGGTTGTGTTTGACCTGGAAGGGCGAAGTGGGCCAGCTTGATGTTACTCGTGTCGGGGGTGGCTGTGGTGGGCCGAGTGCTCTGCCAGCAAGAACGGGCTCCTGAGCTCCGTTTTTGGCTGCCATGGCTTCCTCCAACCCTCTGCTAGTGAAAATGGAGGTTGCAGGAGGCCGTGGCAGCTGAAAACGGAGCTAGGGAACCTGTTTTCACTGGCAGAAGCACCGCAGGCTGGTCTTTCACTGTTTCTAGGGCGGTCCTGCAGGCCAGATCTCAGTACCCCGTGTCAGATCCGGCCACCAGGCCTTGAGTTTGATACCCCTGCATTAGGATGTATGCTAAGGAAGCACTCAACCTCCTCTCTCACCTAAAATGAAACTTCTGGGAGGAAGAGGCTTGTTTTGAATTTCTATTACTATCAGTATGGTGGAACATTAAAACATTAGAAGCTTTGTTCCATTGAAATATTTTAAAAGTGCCAATTTGAAATACTTAAATGTTTAAAAAGTGCCAAATTTGAGATAGAAAAGGCACACCATCTGAAAAAACTAATTGTCATTGACAATGAAATTTTTTTAAAAAAACTTGAGACTAAATTCAGCATTTTAATTATTATCAAGGAATCTTTCTTGTATGGTCTTGCATTGCAATGGAAATTTATTGTATGGTTCTTCCCTGGCCATTGTGAAATCACAGCTAGATCTTGGCACTATATAGATTGGTAAACTCTACTTCTTTTAATGGAAATGTAGGATGTGAAAATATTTTATGCCTGAAGAGTATATGTTCATATGGTAGAAAATTTCTTTAACATGGCACTATCACATGCAAAAACACTGGCTAAAATTTAGCATTTCAAGGGAGAAAATTATAGTCCAATCTTCTTCTGGACTTTGGGAGGCAAATCTAAGTTAAATGATGAAGCTTTAATCAATTTCTTCAACAGGCAGTAGAAGATGATTTTGTAGAAATGCGTAAAAATGATCCTGAGAGTATAACAGCAGATGATCTTCACAGAACTCTACTGGTAGCAAGGTAAGGGCACAAATGTTAAATAGTTTACTTAAGTTATCACTTACAATCAAAAACAAGGACATGTGTCAATGCTGATGTGACATATGACAGCTCAGGCTTTGATTTTCAGTGAAAGAAAATGCATAATAATACACAAGAAGTCAGGACTTATGGACCAAGCTGCATAGAAAATGGCTCCAGCCGTACAAACAAAGTGTGGTTGAAACAGTAGAAAAATAGTAATAGGGCAATTTGTCCCGGTTGTTGCTAGATCAGACAGGTCTTGCATGTAGGACCATCATCCCAAATTCAGAAACTAATTTATCTTTGGCTAATGAAAATGCATCCCAGGAATCATGAAAAAAAAGACTAGAACAGCAGGAAGAAGGTAGAAAAACAAATAATCCTCCTCCAACAGTGCTTTAATTTTTTTTTTAAGTAAGAGCTGTATTAAATAATGATTGCATAGAAAACTATGCAAGGTTTGGAAAGGGTGCAATTTTTTTGTTTTGTTTTGTTTTGTTTTTTTGTATCCCAACTGTTATTTTTACAAATAACTCAAGATGGTGATCAGGCCCTGGTGGCTCAGCAGACTGATAGCATTGTGATTAACACCAGCTGTCTGCAATTACTGTAAGTTCAAATATCACCAGGCTCAAGGTTGACTCAGCCTTCCATCCTTTCTAAGGTAGGTAAATTGATGACCCAGTTTGTGGGGGCAATAAGCTGACTTTGTATAAATATACAAAAGTATGAAGGCTATTGCTTAACGTATTGTAAGCTGCCCTGAGTCTCCGGAGAAGGGCAGCATATAAATCAATTTAAAAAAAAAAAAAACATATCCAACACACCTTCCTCTTCCTATTTTCCCACAACAATCCTGAGAGGTAGGTTGGATAGAGCAACTGGCCCAAGATTACCCAGAAGCTTTTGTAGCTAAGACCATGAATTTTTCTCATTCATGTCACAGGAAGAGTAAGAGAATAGACATTATTTTCCACCTCCTCCGGTTGTTTTTCTGGAAATAGGCCTGGAGATTTTAAAAGCAAGTCCTTTCCTCCTCCTTTCTCTTTCCATAAGATCTGCTCTCTCATTTAGATAAAGGGCTCTGCGACCTTGATTAGATTAGAACTCTCCCACCTGCTTGGAAGTCTGCCTGAAACTCATCAGACTTTAATAAGTTTCACCTTGAAGGCTTTTGGCAGGTGCAAAAAATTGTCTAAATGTGTGTATTGGCAAGAAAATGAACTTTGGGAGCCACTAAACAAGGAATGGCTATATTATTTTTCTTTCATTATTTCATACTCTTTACCATATATCCCTGTAACATTCTATGTTGCAGTCATTTAGATGCTATGGTTGAGATCAAATGAGATTAATTCATCAGGTTGCTTTCAGGGCTCCATTAAGTATCTGATTCCACAAATTAAGCTTATTTGCAAAGCTCAAAGGAGCTTTGTCTCAACCAACGGCAGCATCTAAACATTTTCAGGCCTGGTTAGTATTTGGAAGGATTACCAGAGAATTCCAGGGCGTTGGCTAGACAGGAAATCATGACCCAATCCCAGAAATAAACAAGCCCCTTGCTGTTGCCAAGACAAGTGCAGAGAAATATTCCTGTAATCACCAACAGTTGAGCTGGACTTGAAGGGAATTCTTAAATCTATTGCTTAGCGCATTGTAAGCCGCCCTGAGTCTCCGGAGAAGGGCGGCATATAAATCAAATTTTTTTAAAAAAAAATGAGCTTCAGGGTATGACTTTCTCTGTACGCATGGTTTCATTATTTATATCGGGGATGTCAAACTCCCGACATGTCGTCACAACGTATTGCAACTTTTTCCCCTTCACTAAACGGGGGATAGGCATGACCAGTGTGTGACGCATTCGGGCCGCAGATCGCAAGTTTGACACCCCTTGGCTTCCTATATTTGCCTCATTTTGATTATAGTAAAGGTTTTTGTTTGCACCACATCCTGTTCCTCATTGGTCATTTCAGAGATACTTCCTTACCAGGTTCCTCCATGTCTAACAATGACAGACTTTCTAATATATCGCCTTCAGCAGAAAAGCTGGGATACATTCAGAGATGTATCTGCCTTGAAAATAGCTCAAGTTGAACTATACAGCATAGTCAAACAATAGCCCAGGAAGCCTTTTATAAAATTTTGCCAAATTTCAATTCCACAGGAATCATAGCTCCTAGATTTTGAATGAGTTCTATAAATTAACTCATTAGAAGAACCTTGGTTCAAAATGTTTTGTCCTATGATGCACCATTTTGACCCAGTTAAAGGTTACAGGAATCAGAGTTTTAGTACTATATGGATTCTAAAGAGGTTTATCTCGGTTTCTTGTCCACAGGTTCCTTTCTCTCAGTGCTGGGCAGACAACACTATCAAGAGAGAGGTGGCTAAGAGCAAAGCAATTGGAGGCATTACGTAAAGCCAGATTACAACCGCAAAAATCTGTAAATGGAAATGAACTTTAGGACAACAGTACCCATGTTCATTAAGACTGTAAACATGCCTAATATTTGTAGAACTGATATGAACAGAGCTTATGTTTATACCGGGTTTTGTAGATAATTTATATCAAAAGTTATGGTTCTTTTCTCAAATGAACCCAATTTATGGTGTTCAGATTAACACTGATAAATTTTGGAGCTCGTTTTGTAACCAAATTAGCAACTATGGAAAATCTGTTTGATATTAAAGATTTACTATAAAAATGTCACACTTCTACTAAGAATTATTATAACAGATAAACACTTTATGGCATTAGAACACATACCAGATTTTAATGGGATTGGCCTGAAAGTCATAGTAGAAAGTACAATTTGTTGAAAATGGCTCTCCACTTACAATTGGTTCCATAAATGATTACTTTTCATCAAGTTTAGCTGTGTGAATATATCCTAAATAGTTATAAATTTACTACCAGTAATTACTATTTACCCAGAATGTAAAAGTGTAAAATCAGTATAGTTATCTATATCTTTGTCATCTTTATTTAAGCCCATCAAAATGGAGATTGTATTTAATGTATGTGTCATAACTACTTATGTTAGCATTGCTAGTTAACTCTTTAACGTGCCAGGATAATAATTAAGTTCCTCAGTGGTTATTTTGAATTATTATTTTGTCCCACCATTATTTTTATTTTTGTGTGTGTATGTGTGTATCCAAAACTCAGAACAGCAAACAATATTCCTGCCTCCTATATTCCAAGGCAGACAGCTCTGCAGATTATGTCCTTGCACTATCTATTAAAATTAAGAGTTTTATATCAAAAATACAACCTAAGTTAAGTGACAATGCTGAGTTTTGTTAAACATACTTTTGTGGAAACCCACAGTTTTATTCACTATGAGTTTACAATGTATCCAGGGTAGCATTTCATGAGTATACACAGGCCATACTTTCTGAACTTTAGAATAAGTACAGATAACATACAGCAAGGAAAGACACTACAGAATAAGATTTGTAAGAAATGTGTGTCCCATTACTGATTTGAATCCTCAGAAAGATGAATTTGACCAACTGGTATTTTCAGAATATGTAACTCTGGAACATTCAGCAGGAAAAAAAAAGGATAAACTCTCTTCTGTAAAAATAACAGTCTAATGTTACCAGAGAAGCAAACTTTTAAATATGACTTATATCAGCTTTTATGGCTGATCAGCTAGCAGTCTGATATCTCCAATTCCCTCTACCTTGAGGAAAAGTAGTAGCCAAGTGTTTATGGTAATTATTTAGACATCCCTTCAATCTGTTACCAAATACATTAACATCCTGTTTCTCATGGCCCCAGATAGATCTGTGCAGTTGCTCCTCTGATATAATCACTGTATCAAAACAGCATCCTCAGAACTTTTTTTACTAAACTATGTTGCTACCCAAAAAATAAAGATGTCTAAGGAGGAAAAAATGAGCGGAGAAGCAGTTTTAGTCTTGTAAATGAATCGACAAAGATCCTTAGTATCTTGAACCATATAAGCCAAAATGCATAGTATTTTATTTTTTTATTAAAATAGCTCGTCTCCCACATTAAAACAATACAATTTTATTCTAAATATACTTAAATGTATAGGTACTCTCAAAAGAACACACATTAAAGTATTAATAAATAACAAAATACAAACAGTACAAAAGTATCACGCAAAAGACAGCTTAAGTAAGTTATCACTTCTGATATAATAGAGACACTCAGACATATTATAATTGACTCAACTGTTCAGAACACTACATGCAATCTAGCTATAGTACACATGTACTAACAGAAACCCAACTTCTAGAATAAGGACAGGTTATGAAGGAACAAGATTGCATTCAGTGTTGTTTCTGCTGCTACATTCTTGTAGTTCATCACAAGACTTCTGGCAACAGCATGCTTCTAAGAAATGAGCTAGTATTTAAACATAAATTCATTTCTCTGATGTTAAGATTATAGCTACAGTAACTTCTGAAACACGTTGCACTGATCACATTTTAGACAGGAGAGTAAGGTAAGGTATTATGGAGGAATATGTTGTCAGTTATATTACTGAAGATGATCCCTTGCATATGTTTAGGTAATAACTTCTCATATGGATACATTTTTAATCAGAATTTGATATCAAGCTTAAGAATTTTGCTTTGTTCCAGAAAAGACTACGCTCTAAGAATATGCAACTAGTTTCTTGGAAAATAATGCATTATGGTTTCCAGACACATTGATTTTATTTTTAAAAGGGGATTATTTTTTTTCAGCTAGAAAAGCCCTTTCAGCAGCTGCCCTGAAAGCTTTAACAAACATACTTCTAGACACCATAACTACTAAACCAACAGAGGTAGAAAGAAGCAAGGAACTGGTGAAGGAAAGGGAGAATAAATGCCTAAGCATTTTTTTTAATACTCCCTCTGCAGTGACCATTTCCTTACGAATGAAACCTGTTCAAGGAACACAAATGTTTAAAAAATTAAATTAAAAAAATCTGGAAAAAAATAAATAGAATGCCATCTATGAGTAAAATATTCACTGGTACAGTGCAAGATTAATAAGGTAACAGGTGTTTAGTACCAGACCCTTAATATAAATATTCTACACAAATCTGAAGAGTTATAAAAAACTTGCCCCAAAAGATATAATTGTGCATCCGATCACCTAAACAAATAGCATGCACTTCAACAATTGCTGTGCGAGTTACCTGTTTAGTATAATTTACTGTCGCTCACTTGCTACAAAACAGTTCTGAAACCTGTTCAAAACCTAACTAATTTCTCTCATCGGTTTCTGTAAACATTGTTACTGGTATTCTTAATAACAATACTCAGTTTGCCCTTCTCTAGAATTTATGTTACACACAATATTTGTTCAATAGTATATACAATGGGATCTTGAGCTCTAAATCTGAATTATTCGTGTTTGACACTGGGTAAACATTTCTTTCAATTCATTTTGCTGACTTTCATTAATAGTTTCTGGTTCAGCTGGGCTCTTCTGGACTTTAGCCACAGCAAAGTTGATTCCTTGGGTTAAGCCAGCTTGTGTAATGTTAGCTACCTGTGCCATTGAATTGCGTATTTTTGCAAAGGGAGAGACGGCCCTGCTACCATTATTCTCTGCTGGTGAAGGAGTCGCATGAAACCCTGGCTCAGCTTCAAGAACAATAGAGGAGCCTGGGCTTTTATGAGACTCATATAAATTCATCTGTTCAACCACTAAATATTGTGGTCCTGTCTCTGAAAACGATACATCCAGTTTAGATGGTCTAGAAGGAGCCTTATTAGTTCCCAGACAATCAGCTGCTTTAGGAGCATTATTGCTAATATTATGCGCCATTTCTGGGAGTTCTTCAGAACCCCTCTCACATTCTGAAACACTGTTGTTCATCTTAATTTTAGCATCCTGGACAAATCTGTGACAGTAAACATCAATCTGTTTAGTGACATCTAGTGTTGTATTTTCAGCAGAAAGAGCTTCTTGAAAAGTTTTGCCTTCACGTTCATTGTTCATTTGGTATCCAGATTGTGTAACATGGATGTCTGATGGAACAGGAATGCTAATATTGACATCAGTGCTACTCACAGATTGGGACCGACTATTTAACCGAGGAGCAGATGCAATGATACCACAACTAGGTAAGACATAATCTATCTGTCCGTTCTCTAAAGAGTCCAGGAATTGCTGGTCATCGTCAGATCTGGAATTTGTCAGGAAATCATCTGAATGGAACGAGTCATTATCAGATGAGATCTCAATATCCGATTCTATATTGGCATTAGTATCAGTCATGGCATTTTCCATGGTTTCAAGACTACTATCAGATTTCCAAAGATTTACTTTCAGATTGGGCTTTAAGAAATTGACTTTCATTTCAGGCTTTGTAAAGTTTCCTAGTTTTCTAAAATTGCTGATATTTACATTGGATTTGGTTTGTTTCACTTTCTGATTAAGAGATGAAAACTTGTTCATTAAGTAATTCTTTCCCAGGGCCAAAGAACCTCTATTCTGGGATCTGATTCCAATGATGTCCTCATGTGGTTTGCTGCTCTTCCTGAAAAAGTGAGAAAACTAATAACATCCTTTGTTACTTGTACAATAAAAACAGAGCTGCTTTTGATCCCTTCTTTTATTACACAGGGTGTACCAAAAATCAGGCTTCACAATTTATTACATAAATTACATTAAATGTTTGAATTCGTTACTATTTTCTTTTAAATACACCTTACTCATTTGATGTATGACCTTTAAGCATTCCAAGGTACAGTCACATTTTCTATGGCAAAAAAAAAAAGATATCAATAAAGCATTCTGATTGGTTTAGAGGGTCTGACTTTTGGTGCACCCTGGATATATATAATAATTCCTTTTTTTATTGGGGTTTATTTGTACCGAGGCACTCAGCATCCTCAGTATTGCAAGGCAAAATCTTGAGGTAATATAAAAATTTAACTTTTTGGAGTCCTTGATGCCCTCTGAACTTGGAATGTTTTCTTGCGAATGTTTCAGTATCCAGCTAGGTAACTACTCGGTGCTACTCAACCCCAAAAGCAAAGCATCCAAATTGACATATTTTATTTACATAAAAGCAGATAATGAATCGTTAATAACAATAGATGGCTGGTATATAGGTAGTCATTGACTTACAACTATTCCTTTAGCGACCATTAGAAACTACAACAGCACTGAAAAAAGGGACTTACAGCCAGTCCTCACGTTTACAACTGTCGCAGCATTCCCACAATCATGTGAAAATTCAGGTGGCAACTGGCATCTATTTACAATGGTTGCTGGATCCCTAAGGTTACGACCTTCCCAGCTGGCTTCCGAAAAGCAAAGTTAAAGGGAAAGCTGGATTTGTTTAACAATCACGTGGTTCACTTAACTGCAGTGATTCGCTCAACCAATATGCCAAAAAAAAATATATGGTAAAATCAGGCGCATTAGCAACTGCCTTGCTTAGCAAAGGAAGTTAGCATACTGGTTTCAATTGGGGTTATAACTATCTGTAATACATACCAAAAGTGTTGTAGCTTAAAGTGGATTAGGTATCGGGGAATTTATGAACATAAAAAAATTAAAATTCACCTCTCCAGTTTTTTCTCAATAATGGTGACATCTAATCCTATGGCTTGCTTGGTGATTCGCAGCATTTCTGCAATGCACTGAAGAGTGTCTGAAATACAAAGAATTAATCCAGAATTCCTGAAAAGATCATATTTTTCATTAGATGCTAATGACAGTTTATTTAT